GGCCAGGAAGGGACTTTAGAAAGGTCAAATATGATGAGACGTAACTGAATCTGGCAACCAAAGGTTACTGATGAATTCCAAAATAAGAGTGTTGCCAAAGTAAAAGCTGGATGGGAAACCACACTGCTGTGAGCTAAGAAGTGAATGGTGATGGAGAATGAATTAGTGAGGGGAAGACTAACTTTCAAGGCACTTAGCAAGGCCAAACAGAAAGTATGAATGTAGATGAGGCCAAATCAGAGAGATTCTATGGGCTCTCATTATTTTTGTCCCCAGAGATGAGGGATTAAAAGATGATTATGTAGGCCGATACCTAACAGTACAGTCCTTGGGCCAGCAGCATCAGCATCACCTGGGAGCTTGTCAGAAATGGAGATTTTCTCAGGGCCATGCCCTAGACCCACAGAATCAGAGTCTGCATTTTAACAACATCTCCAGGTGACTTATACACACATTAAACTCTGACAAGCGCTGATCTGGATGATATACAATAATCGAAAACATAAGAGGGCTGGGCATGGTGGCTCACACCTATAATCCTAGCACTTTAGGAGGCTGAGGTGGGAGGATTATTTGAGGTCAGGAGTTCGAGACTAGCCTGGGCAACATAGTCTCTATAAAAATAAATTTTAAAAAGAAAATATCAGAAGAGGAGGAGTACAAGGTCTGTAAGGAACCGGGAGAGGATGAAATCAAGCAGTAAGATGGACAATGAGCTTTGGAAAGGATAGATTTTTTTTTTTCCTCCAGAGAGAAAATGGTAAAGGACTCAGTGAAAATCCAGGTAAGTTCAAAGAGCAGAGAGCAGGGAATGCTGAGGGAGGATCCGCACGTGATGGCCAAGGTTTGTGGGTGGGGCAGGGTAGGCCGTGTGTCACATGCTGAAATATCACTCTGTTTAAATTCGTAGGTCCATATGCAAATCGCTATCTAAGCATTAGCGTTTCTGTGGAGGTTAACAAGATTCTCAAAAGTGTACTTGTCCTAACAAAGTTAAAAATCACGCTGCAGCAAATGCCGCCCAGATGCCTGAGCACAGCACATGAGGCCCTCAAGCTTCAACCCCGGCCTCGCTCCGTCCGCTCTTCTGCCGCATGGCCACGTGCCAGGGAACAGCGCCGTTCGCCTTTCCTTGAATGGCCTGTGTTCTACCAGTCCTGGGTGCCTTTCCCCTTCTGTCCAGAATAGCCCCTCCTCTTTTTCTCACCTGCCACAATACTATCTATGCTACCTTCCTCCAGGACAAAATTTCACTCTCCCTCAATACTTCCTTTATTGTGCTGTTATTAGAACGCCACTTCTCTCTACCTTATTGCAGTGCTCGGTTCTGTGTCTGCTGTTTTCACAACGTGTGAACTAGAAGGTAGAGACTCTCGGACACATGTTATATCCCCTCAATGCCCAACAGAGTTCGATGAGTTTAGTCAAATGTAACCACCTAGGAAATCAATAACGCTGAAGAGGAAACACTGGAACCATAAGAGCCTATAACCCTCCCTACAAGCAGACCTTTAACCACAGGTAGAAACCATCTACCTGATAGGTAAATCCTGAAGAAAAGGACCATTTAACTTTTTCCATATGTGTCTATTCTACTTGTAGTACACAGGATTTGGGAAATGCTGCCAAGTAGATAAGCTTTTAAAAGTCCTTTACTGTCCTTTTTCTCCAGGAATCTTTGATTGCCTATTAGTAACATGTCTAATCACGGCCTACAGGAGCTTTTAGGCCCTGAATATATGTTCCTCTCCTTCCATGTTCCTTAGACAAGGCGGATTCGTTAACGTGAGCGCAGCACCAAGTTGCAAGTACTCCACAGCCCGACGGTGACAATGCAAGTGCCCACTACATACAAGCACTGCAAACTTGGCGGCTCACCTTAAAAACCAGTAGGGGGCATAAGACAAGTACAAACACGACAAATTCAAATCCAAGTAGATTAAATTCTGAATGAATACAAAGTTCTCTGAGGGCTTCAAAGGAAGATGGAATGGGGAAGGAAAGGAATTAAAAAAAAGATTCATTGAGGAGGTGACTTTTGAGAGGAGTGTGCCTGGAAGGATAGAATTTTGACAGATAGATAGCAGGGCAGAGACACATGACAGTAGGGCCTTTGTTTTATTCACGACTACATGCCCGTTGCTCAGAAGAGTGCCTGCTACATTGAAGGAGGTGTTCAATAAATAACTGTTGATGAATGAATAAATTCCAGTAAGAATGAACATAAGCAGAGACACAGAGGACGAAAAAGTAGGTTGTATTCTAATACAGTACAGTTTGGAGTCTGTGGAATAGTCAGAAAGATTGAAAATGTAAATTGAGAGAGAGTAAGCAGCAGTTGCATTTAATGAGGAGTCAGAGCAACTTTTCATTTTTTCTTCTTTTCTGGATCATCCAAGTTTTCTTTAATAAGCACACAACTTATCTCACAGAATTCTACAATTCAGACAGTTTACTAATTCAGGCCTTAGTCACTCCCTCAACCACTACGAAAAGCACCACCCCAAAACAGTTCATTACACAAATTTTAGTGTAGGGCTTCTGACCATGCCCTATTCCTCTTAACTAATATTAGCAAAAAAACACTTTCTCTCAGGTTTTTCTGATGTGAAGGACGGTGACCTACCTGGATCTCCTCCCGAGAAAGCTGTGTAGAATTTTGCACAAAGTTTGGGGGTTCGTCCCATCCTCCTTCTTGGGTCTCCAGGTTGTGGTAATAATAATACCCACCTTTCACCCAGTGCTTCACCCACTTGCTATTATTGTCTCCTGGCAGAAA